TGATTTCTCTTACTGTTTACCTTTTTATGCTTCTCTTGAGTCTTGTCTTTAAATGCCAAATTTTCTCTTTTCATCAGGAATGCTTAAAAGTCTTCAATTTTGTCATATGTCCATTTTCCCCTGGAAGGATCATGCTCACTTGTGCTGAGGTCTTTTTTTTTTTTAATTGTAATCCTAGCTATTTTACTTTCTGGAATATCATATTCTAAGCCCTCTGCCCCAATAATGTGAAAGTTCTTTAATCTTGTGTGATCTTGACTGTGGCTGCACAATATTTGAATTGTTTCTTTCTGACTGCTTCCAATATTTTCTCTTCTACCTGGGAGATCTGGAATTTGGCTATCATATCCCTAGGAGTCTTATTTTGAGATCTCTTTCAGGAAGTGATCAATAAATTCTTTCAATTTCTATTTTACCCTCTGGTTCCAGGATATATCAGGGCAGTTTTTTTCTTTTTTCTTTTTTTAATTTATTTGTTTATTTTTAGTTTTCAACATTCACTTCCATAAAATTTTGAGTTCTAAATTTTCTCCCCCTCCTGAACCTTACTCCTTCTCAAGATGGCATGCAATCTAATATAGGCTCTACATATACATTCACATTAAACATGTTTTCAAATTAATCATTTTGTGAAGAAGAGTTAGAACCAATGGGAGAAACGAGGAGAGAGAAGAAACAGAAAACAAAAAATTAAAAAAAAAACCCAAATAGCAGATTCCAAAGTTCTTTTTCTGGATATAGATAGCATTTTCCATCATGAGTTTTTTTAAGTTGTCTTAGATCCTTGCTTTGCTGAGAAGAGCTAAGTCTATCAAAGTGAGTCTTCACACAATGTTGCTGTTACTGTGTACAATGTTCTCCTGGTTCTACTCACTTCACTCAGCATCAGTTCATATAAGTCTTTCCAGGTGTTTCTGAAGTCCACCTGTTCATCATTTCTTATGGAACAATAGTATTCCACCACATTCATACACCCACAACTTGTTCAGCCATCCACTCAATTTCCAATTCTTGGCCACCACAAAAAGAGCTGCTATAAATATTTTTGTACCTGTGAGTCCTTTTCATGATCTCTTTGGGACACGGTCTTAGAAGTGCTATTGCTGGGTCAAAGGGTATGCACCTTTTTATAGCCCTTTGGGCATAGTTCTGAATTCCTCTCCATTATGATTGGATCAGTTCACAACTCTGCCCACAATGCATTAGTGTTTTAATTTTCCCACATCTTTCCCAACATTTATCATTTTCCTGTTTTGTCATGTTAGTCAATCAGATGGGTGTGATGTGGTACCTCAGAGTTGTTTTGATTTGCATTTCTCTAATCAATAGTGATTTGGAGCATTTTCCCATATGACTATAGATAGCTTTGATTACTTCATCTGAAAACTGCCAGTTCATATCCTTTGACCATTTATCAATTGGGAATGACTTGTATTCTTATAAATTTGTTTCAGTTCTCTACATATTTTGGAAATGAGGCCTTTATCAGAGACACTAGTTATAATAATTGTTTCTCAGCTTTCTGCTTCCCTTCTAATCTTGGCTTCTGTAGTTTTGTTTGTGGAAAACCTTTTTTAATTTAATATAATCAAAATTATCCGTTTTGCATTTCATAATGTTTTCTCTTGTTTGGTCATAAAATTCTTCCCTTCTCCATAGATCTGACAGGTAAACTATTCTTTGCTCTCCTAGGTTGCTTTTAATATCAGCCTTTATATATAAATCATAGACCCACTTTGACTTTGTCTTGGTATGCAATGTAAGATGTTGGTCTATGCCTAGTTTCTGCCATACTATTTTCCAGTTTTCCCAACAGTTTTTGTCAAATAGTGAGTTCTTATCCCAGAAGCTAGAGTCTTTGGGTTTATCAAACAGTAGATTACTATAGTCATTGACTACTCTCTTGCATACTTAACCTATTCCACTGATCTACCACTCTATTTCTTATCCAGTACCAGTTTTGATAACTACTGTTTTGTAATGCAATTTAAGAACTGGTATGGCTAGGCTGCCTTCCCTTGAATTTCTTTTCATTAATCCCCTTCGTATCCTGAACCTTTTGTTGTTCCAGATGAAATTTGCTACTATATTTTCTAGCTATTTAAAATAATCTTTTTGGTAGTTTGATTGGCAGGGCACTGAATAAATATATTAATTTAGGTTTTAGTGTCATTTTTATTATATTAGCTCAGTTTACCTATGAGATCTGACTTTATTTGTGTGAAAAGTGCTTTGTAATTGTGTTCATATGGTTCCTAGATTTGTTTTGGCAGGTAGATTCCCAAATGTTTTATAATGTCTACAGTAACTTTAAATGGAATTTCTTTTTCTATCTCTTGCTGTTGAGCTTTGTTAGTAATATATAGAAATGCCAATGATTTATGTACCTTTTATGTGGGTTTATTTTATATCCTGCAACTTTGCTGAAGTTGTTAATTATTTCAAGTAGTTTTTTAGTTGATCCTCTAAGTATACTATTATATCATCTGCAAAGAGTAGTAGCTTTGTTTCTTTGCTTATTCTAAGTCCTTCAATGTCTTTTTCTTCTCTTATTGCTAAAGCTAACATTTCTAGTATAATATTGAATAACAGTGGTGGTAAACATCTTTGTTTCACCCCGATGTGATTGGAAATGCTTTTAGCTTATCCTTTTACATATAATGCTTGTTTATGGTTTTAGATAGATGCTGTTTATCATTTTAATGAAGACTCCATTTATTCTATGCTTTCCAGTGTTTTAATAGGAATGAGTATTGCATTTTGTCAAAAGCTTTTCTGCATCTATTGAGATAATCATTATGATTTCTGTTAGTTTTATTATTGATATGGTCTATCATGATAGTTTTCCTAATATTGAACCACAGGGCAATTATTCTTGATAATTTCTTGAAATACAATGTCCATACTCTTTAATTTTTTATCATAGCTCTCAGATAGTTCAGTAATTTTAAAATTATTTCTCCTCAATTTATTTTGCAGGTCAGTTGTTTTTCTGACAAGATATTTCACATTTTGTCCATTTTCTTTCACTTTTGACTTTATTTTAAAGTTTCTCAACGTCTCATGGAGTCGTTAGCTTCCCATTTGTCTAATTCTAACTTTAAAGCAATTATTTTCTTCGCTGAGCTTTTGTACTTCTTTTCCTATTTGGCTAATTCTACTTTTTAATGAGTTCTTTTCTTTATAGACTTTTTGTGCTTTTTTTTATTTGGCCAATTCTGGTTTTTAGTGACTCATTTTTTCCACTATTTTTTGTGTCTCTTTTACCAAGTTGCTTATTCTCTTTTTCATAATTTTCTTATGTCTTTATTATTACTTTCCCCAGTTCTTTCTCTACTTCTCTTGTTCAATTTTGAATATTGAGCTCTTTTAGGAATCCTTCTTAGGCTTGTGCACAATTCATACTTTCTTTTTGAGGCTTTGCTGGTAATTGTCTTGACATTGATGTATGAATTTATGTCTCTATCTTCCCTCTCATCATAGTAGTTTTTTATGGTCAGAGGTTTTGTGTGTGTGTGTGTGTGTGTGTGTGTGTGTGTGTGTGTTTATTTATGTCCCCAGACTATTTCTTGACTTTGAATTTCATGTTAAAGTTGGGCTCTGCTCCCAGGGTGGATAAGACATTGTCCCAGCTTTCTAATTTTTTTGGTACTATTGTTTTCAGAGCTAGTTTTGGGCATCTGTATGTTCTGAAGCTTTTAAAGTGGTATGATCTGAGGAGAGATGTGGTCATTGTTCTCTTGATCTGTGCTCTGGTCTTTACTGAGGAAGGGACTTTGTTTCTCTGCTGCCACAAGTGCTAATGCTCCTCTAGCTCTGAAACTGTGACTAATTAGAAGGGCCCGAGTCACAGTTCCTAGGCAGAGAAGAGCACTAGCACCTTTGGCTACAGGAGCAAAGGGGTCCTGGTCACAGTTGCAGGGCAAAAAAGAATGTGTGTGATCATTTATAAGGGAGTAGGAGCCCTGATCTCAGTTCTAAGGCAACAAGTACTAATGTTTTTCCTTGTCAAAGAACTGTGACCTGGAACTGTTTATGGACAATGCAAAAGGGTATTGTATCCAGTGATAGCAAAAGGGTCCCATGTAATATTCTTCTGACCAGTAGTTCAATCTTTTTACTGGTTCTGGGCTGAGAGTTCCTAAAACTGTTACTGCCACCGTTGCTACCTCCAAGACCTGCTGCTGGTGTCGTGGATGCATGCACTTTTCTCTGGGCAGTCCTCAACCCTGTATCATAGACCACTCCTGCGTAACCTCCTAAATGTTTTTTAGCTAAGAAAACAAATTCTCACCTTGCCCTTTTGTTGGCTCTGCCACTGCAGAATAAGATGGCAGAGTAGAGAAGCACTGAGCTGAGCTTTCCTAATGTTCTTCTCAGAACAAATTCAAAATAATGCCTCAGATTCAATTTTGGAGTGGCAGATTTAAAGGAAGGTTAGAGTGAGACATTCTTTAAGCCCAAGACAACTTTGGAGGTTGGAAAGAAAGATCTATGATATTGGAGTGGGGGCTAGCCCAAAGCCTATGTGGCTAAAACACTACTGGTGGAACTAGAACTGCAGCTTTGGAAATACTTAAGCAAGATATGGCACAGGGATCTGGCAACAAGTCAGAAAAAGGTTACAGGGTACCCTTGTGATGTGGGTACAAAGAGTGCTCTAGGAGTAAAAATAATATTAAGGGTTACTTTCCCAGGCCCCCTGAGGGGATTTGAGGCTCATTCTGTAGCCCATCTTGTACCTTGAGACCCTGGAACTTGAGAGCTTCTCAAGGCCTTTTCCCCTTATCTTGAAACACCACACAACTTGTACCAAAAGAATTGCCTTTGTTTCCCTTACCCTGTGTTCCTTATCCTGTCATTCATCTTCCTCATTCTGTGTCACTACAATTTTCCCTTATCTCATAAGCAGCCATCTTCCTCATCCTGTTTATTCTTTTCTTGTCCCTAATCTCCAACCCCCATAAGAAATCCTAAAACTTTGTCATCATCCTACAGGCTGTGTAGCTTTCTGTCTATATAAGCCTGGGTCTTTTCCTATATTGGTGCCTTTGTTTAGCTCCTTGCTAACCTCAGTCCTGTGAAGCTTTCACTAAATAAAGCTCCCAGTGGTTACAGAGAAGGTCTAAGTGAATTCTTTCACACTTGAACCAGCTTTCCCGACTCAAAACCTCAACATAAAATGGTGCCAAAACCTGGGAGTCCAACTATTAATTGGACTCCGCTGATCTTCTCCTGGCCACTGGGATAAGAGGTAAGCACCCTTTTCTTTGTTCTCTTTCCCAGACCTTTTCTGCTCCTAATGTCTCCCTGGTTGAGAGACTCCTGGAGTGGCCAGATGCTGCCAGCCGTGTCTGAAGCTCCCTCTGGGCGTTCAGTCAGACTGTTGACCCTTGTACAAGGGGATGCCCTTGCGCTGGGTTGGTCACATTTTTTCCCTTGGCTGCTAGGAGACTGTTATGATGGGAAATTCAGGGAAGGAGATCTTAAAGAAAAGCTCCCAGTGTTTCATTGTAACACAACCTGACCTCAATGTAATCTAGAAAAATGATTTCTAAACAAGACATGCTTAGTAAGAAATTTGGTCTCCAAAACTTAAAGAAAAGGCACCTTGCTCTGCTCAAGCAGACTTTTATTCCCCTGCACCTTAGCTTACCACATGTTGTTTCTTCCCCTCCCCTGTGGGACCTTGGGAGAGGTAGGTAGATAGGCCGTTGGGCCTGGTTTTCTTTGGGGGTCCCTGTGCCCAGTTTCAGGGTCTCCATGCCCTATGGACCTTCATTTTCCTTGGGGATCCCTGTGCCCCATTTCAGGGTCTCCATCCCCTGTGGGCCTTTATGCCTGGTTTTCTTTGGGGACCCCTACACCCCAGTTTCGAGGTCTCATTTTCTAGTACATGCAGCTCAAAATTCCCAGGAGGAAGGGAATGGAGTGTCGGAATGCTTAAAACTTATCTAATAAGTTCCTCTCTCTCCCTATCCCCTTCTCACCCTGCAGTTGGGGTGGATCTCCAAGCACTTAGGAAGGCCTGACCTCTCAGGCACTGTTAGGTGAGATAGCTAGAAGCTGTCTCACACTCAGCCTGACCTCTCAGGCTCTCAGTCCAGCAATCTGAGGCCGTGGACCTGGGCACACCTTCTGCAGCATAGAGGACAGACTCCTTGTCTGGAAGCATATGCCCAATTCTGTCAATTCTTTCAATTCTCTCCGGGATAGGGAATTGGGAAAACTGCAATTACTCCCTTCCTTCAACACCCTGAGACTCCTGGGAACTTCAGCTCAAGGAAGTAAAAAGTTATTTGGAGCTGGAAATTGTCACCATGTATCTTTTTTAAAAAAGTACATTTGTGGATAATAATTTTTTCTTTTAAAGTGCTAAGAGTATTGGGCCTTAGAAATTAAAATGTTGCTATTAGTGATTATGAATCTAGATCTTATTTCCTCACCCAACTAAATTTAAGGTCACATGCTTGGTAATTAACTGGTTCTGTGTCAAGCTTTAAATACATGACAATTGCTTGTGGTAGGGTTATATTTCCAAATTTTCTTGAATTGTGTAATTTGATTAACAATTGTGTCACCTGTGTTGTTAGAAAAGCAATTTCTCTTATAATCTAGATGTTGTTAGATCAAAAATTGTCCTGTTAGATTATGAGGTTGTTAACTAAGACAAGGGTTTTTGGAACTATCTAGTCCTAATTTCTTATCAAGCCTGTACAAAGTCTTCTATAGTGGAATTCCTACTGAATAAATTTTAAAAGGCCTGATAACCTTTGTTATTGTGATAAGGCTAATTTAATTGGGTATGTTCATGTTTTAGGAAAAAAACAAAAACAAAAACTGAACTTCCCAAGGAAACACATTTTGGTACTTAGGAATTTGTGATTATTGAGAATTTTGGTTTTATGGCATTTTGAGGATTTGTGATACTTAAAAGACGTTTTGATAAATTCCAATTTTTAAGGTTTCCAGCTAATTTACTTCATGAAATTTTAGTGATTATTCCTTTTAACATTAGGATAAGTTGTAAGCTTCTTTTCAAGAAAGGGAAATACTTTTTACTAAGAAATGTTTTGCAAAAATCTTTTTGTGTGATTTTTGGAAGGCCTACTACATTTTCATTTGCAATTTAATTTGTTGCAATAGTAATTTGTTCCAAATTTACTGTGAAATTTCTAAGTTTCATAACTAGGTTTGTTGTATCCTCAGATCTGCTTTAAATGGGTGCTTTCAGAGAAACAGAGTTAATGATTTGTGCTTCGGTACGAAAGGACACTGGTCTTGAGAATGTAGGTCTGAAAGGTTCAATACCTCACTCTAAGTTTTTAAGGGGTAGAAGTAGAAGTGAAAAAGTTAGGGCAGCTAAAACATCTTAGCAGATTCTGGAAGTTTTGAGATTGATCATTAAGGAGTTTTTAAACTCCTCCTTACAATCTGTTGCTCTCTTTCAGCACTCCCTCCCCTTGAGTTTAGAGGGTTTCTCAGTTTGGGCATTCCAAACAGCCCTGGGTTTTCTTGTTAACCCCTTTCATATCAGATTAGATAGGAAAAGAGAGTTTCACCCTTATGCCCCAACCTGCAAATTCACCTTCCCCCACCTAGAGAAAGGAAGGAGGGGGAGGGGCAGTAGCTACAGCCTGGAAGTATCTTCCAGCACACAGCCATGGGGAGAGAGTAAAAGGGATGGGTCAAGGTAAAGAAGCCAGCAATTCTGTGTTTGTACTTGGTAAGCCAGCCCATCCTTCTATCAATAATGTTTATATGATCTGGAAAAGCAATTGTTGTCATCTGCCATCATATTATTTTGTGTTACAGTTAAAACAATTTGGTTATCACTTATGAGAATTATATTGTTTTAATGTTAAAACCTAGAGCTCATAATTGATTACTCTGTGTGTGTGTGTGTGTGTGTGTGTGTGTGTGTGTGTGTGTGTGTGTATGTGTACATGTGTGGAAAGAAGCAGTCCTCAGGGCTAGTCAAAAAGCTCATAGCAGTTCTAAAGGTAGATGGGATGGATAAGGCAACACCTTCTCTGGGATCCCAGTCGATCCTCCTTAATTTTGTAAACTTGCCAAAGAGTTTGTTTGGGTTATGGAGTTCCCATACAAGGAATTTGGCTTGTTGAGAATTTGCTAATGTATAGAAATGATCTCTAGCGATTGGCTTTTGTACAAGGACAAGTTTAATTTTGAGATGTAAGTCCTCATAAATTTTTGATTAGTGAAAATTGCCATCTGAGGTAAAAGCTCTTGGGACCATAACGAATTGTGTTTTGAGTTGTCTGATGGATCATAAAAATCCATCTATAATCAATAGTCAATAATCCACCACCTGAGAAAAATGCTACAAGCTACTCAGATAGAATGTAACTGTTACAGGTGGAGGTCTGCGTCTGGAAAAGCTGAGAGGACAGTCTTAGCTTCAGCCTAGGATGGGATCCTCCTGGCTCGGTTTCCCCATTGTGTTCCTTTGAAAAGGAATGTTTCCTACCTGACTATTGCTGAGTCTGGCTACAAGGTGGAATTGATCCCACATGGCTGGGAAACTGTGATGTCCTTTCTTTTCCTTTTTATGGCACATTTCTGTAATCAAACAAATCGGCAGTAAAAGATGTGAGCACAATGCAAGTACATGAAATCTTGCTGTTTTTAATCTGAATGTGTAGTTATCCCATATCCCAAACAGTTGGGTAAATTAGTACTCCTGCATAGTCATGTGAAAGATTAAATTCCTGGAACAGAGCACTCTTTCTGATTGATATGGGAATAATTAGACAAAGGGAAAAAGTTTGTGAAACAAAGGTACAAACGCAATGTCAAATCCCACAGACTAAGGCTGGGATATATCTGATCTACTATATTAAAGTGTGTGTTTAAGATCTGAGCTATTCAACCTAAGATTATATTCCTTTCTATTTTTTAAGCAAGTTAGGAAATGGGTATTTGGCAGAGATATCTGCCTATTTCTAGATATATCTGTATGAAATAAGGTTCTTAAATTTCAAAATGATGTAAGAATAATTGAGTATCGGTACAACTGATTGAGAGACCTAGCTGTTATTCTATTAACTATTGAAACTAAATCAGAGACATCTTCAGTTTGGGGAAAAGAATTTCAGTGTAATTTTCTTAGAGGGAGGTAACTTATGGAAAATGCATTTGCATTAATTAATTATATCAACTTCAGTTAAAGTTTACTTGTATTGTAGAAATAATTCCCATTTATTCTGTGTGTCCTCTGGTACAAACATGTTTTGTTGTAAACAGCTTATTGAGGTATTTTGGAATTAAGCACATATCCTCCCAAGTCTTTTATGATAACTGGAGTAAAGTTAGTCTCTTATAAGTAAATTCATTTGTATAACTACTGAACTCAAGGGTAGAAAGCTTCTGCTTGCAAAAGTGTTGTTACTTAATTTACATGTATAAGGTTGGATCCTTAATAGCATCTGATCCTCCTAAAAGAATTGGAATCAGAGTGGAAACTTTTGGGAAGATAACAAGATCAGATAATTCTGTGTGTCAAAAGGAAATAATAGCATTATGTAGCTCTTGATTTCTTTCTTTGTTTTTCTCTTTTTTGACATCATTTTTACTGTTCCTTCTATTTGGGCCCCGCATATCCAAACTTGCTTGTCGGATTTATGTCTCCTAGACTATTGGCTGTCCACCTGCAGATGGTCATGCAACAAGGATACCTGTTTCACACTCTCCTCATCCCCTGGACACTACTTCAGCCTCATTTTACTGCCCTCCTCACCCCACTTCAGATAGGGACAGCTCTTTGTCTTTCCTGAGAGCATTTGGATGAATGGTGAGGCAGACAGAGTGCTCAAGGCAGATGGGGCAAGTAGGATGCAAGATGTGAGATATAGGATAAGATGTAGGGTGTGACCAGCCAAAAAAGTGATCAAAGAAGACTATGTATAGAAACCCCTCCCTGAGGACTTATCTGCATGCTTTCTAGCTATGCTGTATTCTGGGCCCCACCTTGAACCACTCCTCCTGTTACCTATTCCTGATTCTCACCTTGTGCCTAGGGTTAGGCTTGCTTTCCCAGGACTGGGAATCAAATTCTTTAATTCAAATAGGAAACTCTGTGAGGCAGGGCATTGTACATGATTTCTAGGTATGGCAAGTAGCTTACACCTCAGAACTCTCTCCCTATTCCCTGAAAACCCTGAATGAAATTTATCCTTTGAACACTTGAAGGATTTTACAGGCAGCCTCTTGGATGCCAGACATCCACTCCAG